CTCTTTTTTTGTTATCACCAGATCATCCAACTTAATCAAATTATGACTATTTCATGTACACGATACATGGATATGCCTATTTTTGTCGGTGCACAAATATTTTTTTCATTTTGTAATTTGTTTTGTCTACGGCACAGAAATTTTTTACACTAAAAAAAATCCATATGCATGTCACATTAAAAATGAAAAAAATATCTCTCCACATACAAAACCGAGCGTGTAAATGACGTGTAAGCCACGAGACATGTGCAAAAGGCATTTCTCAACAAATCATATTTGTACACACTTTCTATACATAATACATACACACTTTAAGTACCTTCAACTTTTACCATCCCACCTTTACATTTTACCATTTTCTCACTCATTCCCTCTCCCTTCTTTCTCTCTATATATCAATGATGAAACTGATATATTTATGTTTAATGTCTTTTATATATTCATATTTCGATTCATGTCATGTAATTTGACGAAGTGATACATTATACGTACTGTTGGTCCTCACACGCCTACCACATCACACTCCTCTATTATCCTGGCTTGGGACATGTATGATATAAAAAATGATCTCATGACAGAGTTATGGGTTTACATGAAAAAATACAAAAATTCTTTATGCCGTACAAAATACAATGTAGTTTACTAAATAAGTGTAAATAATTTTTTACTTCAAAAGGTGTGATAATATAATCAAATTTCAAATTATCTATATCTAAGTTTTTAGTGGTGCACTCTTGAAAAATGGATTTACAAATACGGAAATACCAAATTTATTCTTCTGTGTCTAAACTGCTCAAGCTCTATCAAAACTTTTATCACCTAACCGTCGTCTAAAATTTATTTTGCTACTATTACTCATTGCTTTTATATATTAATTTATATACGCGTTGCGCGTTTGAGTAAATGCCCAATATTATATAAATGAAATTAAAACTCCACGCAAAAAGAACAAAAGTGAAATAATGTTTGAAAGAAATGAGAAGAAACAATACAAATGTTTGTCATAGTAAAACCATAAATATAGAATGAAGTCATATTACATGTAAAAGAAAAACTTAAAACTATATTCTCAGATTGAAAAATGGGCTCATTTCGATTTGACAAGCCTTTATCGTATTAACCACGTTCCAAACAAAATACTTACTTGATTCAGAACAAAATATAATATTACGGAGTATGAAAATAGGGATCAAATGAGAGCTGATATAAATACTACTACGTATCTACAGAACAAACGTGGGCCGTTGTTCAAGCCAATAATCTTGAAACGAGATGTCCGAGTTCATAAAGTCTATCATTTATGATCTTTAAAGAAAACAAATTGTGGTGGATAATAAAGCCGTATAAAACTTGTTTTGTTATTTTTTTAAATTTTATTAGAAAATCATTTTTTCCATTAATTTCATCTCATTTATGTGTAGAAAAAATGATAGGATCTTATGTATTCTAATATAATGTTCACTCTCACAATGTTTAGGTAATAACTTTATTCTAGGTTTCAATTTCATGAATTTAACAAGCAGATATAATTTTTTAGATAGATTTTTCCAATATCTACACTACTATATCTTAATACTCCGAGTACATGAACTTCTAATATGTTTTACCACGAATCTAAATAACCTGTTTTAACCTAAACATTATATTTAGACATGATTTGTTAAATTAAATATCTACATTTGAAAAGTAGGGTAAAAAAGATAAGAATTTGTATATGTGAATGTAATGAAAGTTGAAACACATTAATAAAAACACTACTACCAATCGAAGGAAAGAGTGGGGAAAGAAAGTACTCCCTCCGTCCCTGAAAGAATGTCCTACTTTCTCAAAATGGAAGTCCCTAAATGAAAGTCCTACTTTTATTTTAGGAGAGAAAAATGCGTAATGGCTTTAATCCCCCCCTCTGTCCATTAATCGATTATATGTGTTGCTTTTGCCCTTTTATTCACCACTTCCATTGGTTGGTTTTCTTACACCATTAATTCTTTCTACACTTTTCTCCTTCTCACTCTACTTACGCCATTAATTCCTTCTACACTTTTCTCCTTCTCACTCTACCTTATCTCCTTCCCTCCCCTACCGGTCATGTAACTCATCTCCTCCACCGCTCCTTCTCACTCTACCTCATTTCCACCGCTGCCAACCCCTAATTCTTCTCCTCCGCTGCTACCCCCTAAGTGTCTTCCGCCATTACCCATACCTACCTCATATCTCCACCACAACCGCTCATCTCCGAGCCTTGACTGTACATGGAAAAGAAACCTAATCCTACCCCTATACGTCCGATTAAGAACTCAAATATTCTCACCCAATCACATGCAACTTCGATGCCATATGTCCAGGAGCAAACGTATTCGGTTTGTAACCTGATTTCTTATGTGGACTCACCTCCGATGTCACATGCACCAGAGCCCAATCCTATGCCCCCACGTATTCACTTCGGTTACTGACGTGCACTTTGTCGTGGTGTGCACTCAAAATAATAATCAATACAACAAATATACGTAGTATATTGAAGTAAGGTTCGTATACACATGGAAAGGAATATTTTTCTTTTATATTATAACTTGTAACAAAGGGGGGATTTTAGTTGTGTTTGATTTTAATTAATTAACACTAAGATGAACGACTTATGTGATTTACTTTAATAGAGACGAAGACTTGGTTTTGCTTTTATCCACTTAATGAAATGTTCGTCGATCCCGGTTATATCTTTAACTATCTTCCTCTCGAATACTCAATCGAGGAGTATATCCAGTTCATCGAGGGTAGTTATTAATAACGAGACGCGTTCATTAATAAAACCTACTACCGAGTTAATATAGAACACGCGCCGTATATTAACCCGATAGTAGCAATAAAATCAAGATGAAAACGATTGAGATTGATAACCTCAACACAAGCGGTTTATTGGTTTAATCAACATAATTAATTCCCCTTGTTTATTAACGTAACCATGAAACACATGCATTAATAACCCAAGTTTACTACCGTGAAACAATCGAACGATTAACAAGCGTATTCGTCGATCGATTCTAGTAATAATTAATATATGAAACAAAACTAGTCGATCCTTTAAGTAATGTTCAAAATATTAATATGAAATATGAATAGGAATTAATTAATACTCAAGGAAGAATATTAAAGAAGATGAATCCTACCATAATTAATATCAAGATGTTAACTAATTGTCATCTTAGTAACACTCCCCAATATTAACGTAGAGGAAGAAATAACTATTACTATAACTAATGTCAAGATGTTAACTAATTGTCATCTTAGTAACACTCCCCAACATTGATATAGAAATAGTATTTAAAAGAAGAATTAATATTCAAGGAAGAAGATTAAAGAGAATAACTCACAACTTACAAATTCATTAAGCTTCAAAGTAGCAAAACCAAGATGGAAGAGTTTAGCTCCTCATTTGGAGACTAAACATGATAGAAAATATAAAGAAAACACTAATCTAAACTGAGCTAAAGAGTGTTAGTACCCAACGATTGATAGATTTTGATGATGCCACTATAACCAATAAATGAACACCTCCACCACCTAATAAGTCATGACTAATAAAATGTATCAAATAAAGAATACTGGAAGCTTAAAATACATTAAGGTAATTTTTGTTACCTTAAAAAGGACATTCAAATCCTACCAGTATAACTTTATTTGATACACAAATAAAACTAAGAAGTGGGAAGTATTGAACAAATGCTCCAAATAAATTTTTGCTGGAAATTCACCAGGGTAATTGTTTTTACCTCCAGTACATAATTTACTTGGTGCACAGTAACATGCAGGGATAAGCCGTATAACAAAGGCGTAAGGCTAAAAAGCATTTAATGCAAGAATTGTACATGGGTCCCAAAAGGTGATGATGATACACAAGAAGTGATCTTTCGAAGAAGAACTGATCGGCAAAAATTATCTCTTTATCTTGCTCCAACACATGAAGACAAAGAGTACAACTCTTTCAGCGATTACGATCAACTCCTCTCAACCAACGGAGGAGATTGATCTGCTCAAAAGGCCTATAAAATAGGCAGAAGCATGAGTGATAAAATCAAGTTTTTGAGTCATCTAAGTAGAGTATTCACTTCAAACATTCAAGAGATATCTAGCAAAAGAGAAAGTGCACGTTAAACTTTGCTCTCTGCTTAGACTCATGCTTCACTAAGCTCTTAGACTAGATCATACACGATTACACTTTTAGAGCTTAGTTTCTAGTTGGAGGTTAGAAATTTTCTTGTAAACAAATTGTTGTAAACACTTAGGAGAACAGTTGTTCGGATCCTAAAGTGTGGTTAGATAGATAGAGTACCTTTTGATCCCCACTGGATCAATTGAGAAAAGTCTAAGGACTGAGTAACTTTGAGTGGTGTTATACTCATCGTGAAAAACCTTCAATCTAGGCCAGAGTTGTCAAGGCTAGATTGGCACTAATTGTATTGGGCTGAATACTTTAGTGGAAATCCATCTGAAATAGGGTGGGACTGGATGTAGGAGGATTACACCACCTCTGAACCAGGATATATCGTGTGTTGATTTACTTTCATACATGCAGAGCACACACCAAACACATCTCACTAAAGGATTGTAGTTTGCCAGCAGCATCCTAAGCAGTAGTCTTCATCGACTGTACTGCTTAGCCTACTGCTTAATAACTCACTCTCCTTGAGAGTGTTTTCCACTAGAAGTTATCTTACACTCAGAAGGTGCCTCAGCAGTACCCTGGTCTTCACCCTCCTGCTGAGCCCACTGCCCATCCATATGTGTCTTTCCGAACGCCATAACAAGCCAGAACAAAAAGCCATCCAAGAGTCATCCTGTTCTTAACAGTTGCCTCAGCAGTAACCTGCCCACCAGCCGACTGCCAACTCAGCAGTTGCCTGCCAGTCAGCAAACTGTGTCACGCCCCGGACCTCCCCGGACACGTCAACAACCCGCCGTACAATACGAATAGTCAACCGCAGTCCAACACATTCATATTATACAAGGCGTCATGAATATCATTCACACATAAGTCATCCATAAACATTCATAATAAGCAATTCAATACGCAGCGGAAAACATTGTTTAAAACAAAGGGCCACACAGGGCAAACATGAGCACGCAGGCTCTAAAGTAAAATATCCATGAGCATGTTTATTAATGTTCTAAAACTGAATGGAGGAAGCACGAACCAAGTCTTCTCTCCGGGGAAATCACTCGGGCAACGAGCACAGGAAGCAAGCTCTAGCCTCAACCTGAAATGGTGGTGGGACGCCCCCGAAGGGGTCAGTACTCTATACGGCTATAAAGTACTGGTGTGGCAGGCATCTAATAGATATACAACAAGTATTTCAAGCACAAGACCCTCAAATAGGGTGATAGTATATTATGATTGTAACCCTAAGTTACCCATTTGAAAATATACTTACTTTAGGTAAAAGTCAAGTAGTCGGCCCGTGGGCCCATGTTCATTTAGAAATCACCATTCCCATTTCCCGTGGCTACAAGCCACGATACTCAATAGAGTCCAACCCTAACACATGACATTGTATTCTAGAGCTCGGCTCTACTACATCACCATACAATTCATGTCACTCGGGTCAATTCCTTACCTTGCGTTCTAGAGCTCGGCTCTATTACATCACCACGCAAGCCCTAGAGCTCGGCTCTAACTATACAATACATAGACTACAAGTCTACACCTTACATGCATTCTAGAGCTCGGCTCTACTACATCACCATGCATTAAGGTCCAATTCTCAAGCAACCCTATGCCTAGAATTGACATATCATTAAACTGCCATGGGTCATCCTTAAAGACTTCCCATAACTTAACCTTAGTTCCATACTAAGTTATTATATACACTTGAACTATATTCAAGCACCTTTCATACAATCCAATCCCTAGGATCAATTTAATCAACAAGTTCCAATAATCACTAACTAGTATTTCAATACTATTAAGATTATTGTTATCATACCACTATCCTCTTTATTTGTAATTCTCTACATAATTACAAATATGTAGCAGCAACTTAAGTATTCAATCTCAATACACAAATCTTCATTTATGTATCCAAATACTTCATACATGAGCAAAATACCTATTTCGCAAAAACAGTTCATTTATACTCATTAAATCTCATGTTATTCATACATTCTCAAATCATTTCAAATTTCATTCTTTGGCAACTATATCAATATTTCATCAATATATGATCATCATAATCCATGAAAAATAATGATTTAAGCATTTAGGTAATCTCATGCTTAACCTACAAGTTGTAAGCAATTAGATGTCAATCCTCACCTCAATTGAGCTTTAAACTTTCCCTTCTTGGTCCAATGGTCAAAGCTTTGGTCAAGGTGGATTTGGAACTGATTCCTTGCTCAAATATGAGTGTTAAACAGCCTCCTCAAAGTGCTAGTTCAACCCTTAATCGTTGATACGAAAACAGCCCCTAGAACGGGTGTTTCCCGGTCAACTCGTTTCCTAGTTTTTCCAAGATTTGTTCTAGGTTAGTATCTAACCTTTACATCAATAAAATAACTTTATAAGGACATATTATACACTTGGATTAGTGTATGATAGTCCCACCAATCGTTCATATCATTTGGAAAATGAAAAGTAAAGTTTTGGGGCTAAAACTCACTTTTAGAAGATCAAATCCTCTCCTGCGAGGTTGTGTTTTGCTCGGACGATTTGGAAGCCTTCCACAACTCCGATTCCTGCAAACCAGACCTTCACGGATTCCTCGTCTTGAGAGCTTTCTGTGGGTATCTCACACGCCTTAATTGGATTTGTAAAACTCGAGATATCGACCAAACAGTCTCAGCACTCCCACAGCTCGAGTTCACAGACCACTGCTCGTTCCAGATCGATTTTTGGATGATTGCTCTCTCTACTCGAACAAAGGCCACTCAATTATGAAACTACACTTCAAAGGCTATCCAAGGACACCTTATACACCTCATTTGGACGAGTACAACTCTCAAAATGAAGGGAGACAAAACACACCCATGATTTGTGCGGAAATAGACAAGGTGGGTCTCAAGGTTGATTCCAATCAAGTCTTGTGCAGCCCTCCTCCAGCTTGTGCGGCCAAGGTAAGTCTCCTCACTTATTTTTCTTGTTTTGCAGGTACTATAATCATGTGGGGTGGTTCCCAATTGATCCCAATTAATTTGGGGTCCAAATTATCTACCAATACTTCCAAAAATGGGGGAAATGGGTCCTATTGTTTTATCTTTGTCAAAAGATGTCTTTTTGCACTCATCCTAATTTATTTAGAACAAGTCAACTTCCTAAATCACATTATTGATCTCCAATATGTGTAGGATCATCCCAATAATTTACATGATGAAAATTATAAAAGAATACGGGTTTGAACAATACAATATTCAATCGCGTACTTCGTAAAATATTAATCGTTTCTTCCATTGCTTTGAAATCGGAAATTCAATACATCACTTTTGAATTTTTAAATCGAATTTTCAAGGACGTTCGGGTGCGGTGTCACAAGTTCACCCCCCCCTTAACAGGAATTTCGTCCCCGAAATTCACAGCTCTACTCGAATAGGAAAGCATACTGCTTCCTCATCAAAGCCTCCGTTTCCCATGTCTCTTCCTCGACCCGATCGCTCTTCCACAGGACTTTAACCATTGGGACTTCTTTGCTCCTCAGCTTCTTCACCTTTCTATCGGTGACTTTGATAGGTTGAACAGCGTAGTTCAAATCCTCACGTACCTCTACGGGTGGCTTCTCCAATACGTGAGAGGGATCATGCACATACTTCTTAAGCATGGATACATGAAACACATTATGTATCTTCTCCAACTCAGGAGTCAACTGTAGACGATATGCAACAGCCCCAATCCTCTCTATAATTCTGAATGGACCTATATATCGTGGGTTAAGTTTTCCTCGGGTTTGGAACCGAATGATCCCTTTCCAAGGAGAAACTTTCAAGAATACCTCGTCATCAACCTTAAACTCTAAGGTTCTTCGACGCTTATCTGCATAACTCTTTTGTCTATCCTGAGCCGCCTTGAGTCTCTCTCGAATCAACTTCACCTTTGATTTGGTGACCTCCACCAACTCAGTACCCTCGAGTTTGGCCATGCCAACCTCGTCCCAGCATAACGGTGTACGGCACCTCCTCCCATACAATGCCTCGTATGGAGGCATGCCGATGCTTGCCTGATAACTGTTGTTATAGGCAAACTCCACAAGTGCTAAGTGGTTGTCCCAACTCCCCTGGAACTCCAATGCACAAGCCCTCAGCATGTCTTCTAGGATCTGTATAACCCTTTCAGACTGCCCATCCGTCTGTGGATGGAAAGCAGTACTGAACTTCAACCTCGTGCCCATAGACTCCTGAAATTTTGGCCAAAAACGTGATGTGAATCGTGGGTCTCTATCAGATACAATGGTCACTGGGACCCCATGCAGCCTCACGATCTCGTCCGTATACAATTTGGCTAACCTCTCAAGTGGGTAAGTAGTGTTGATAGGCAAGAAGTGTGCACTCTTCGTGAGCCTATCTACCACAACCCAAACTGCATCATAGTTCCTGATTGTTCGTGGTAAACCTACCACAAAATCCATAGTCACGTGTTCCCACTTCCATTCAGGAATAGAAAGTGGTTGCAATAAGCCTGCTGGATGCTGATGTTCTGCCTTAACTTGTTGACAAGTAAGGCATCGACTGATATATTCGGCTATTTCTCTCTTCATACCCGACCACCAGTAACTCTCCTTCAAGTCGCGGTACATCTTCGTGCCCCCCGGGTGCATGGCATAAGCCGATGAATGAGCCTCCTCTAAGATGGACTTTCGGAGCTCATCATCTGACGGTACACACACTCGGTCACGAAATAACAAGAGACCATCATCTCTTTCCCTGAAATCCTCCACCGGCCCCGCTTGCATGCGTTCCCGGACCTTCATAAGTTCTTCGTCGGCTTCCTGACCCTTCTTGATCTCATCAAGTAAAGTGGGTCTCACCTCAAATCGTGCCAATAAGGCACCATCGCTGGTTACCTCCAGTTGGGCTCTTAATGCCCTCAAATTAGTTATCAATGCCCCAGACGAGCTCTTCCGGCTCAAAGCATCTGCCACCACGTTTGCCTTGCCTGGGTGATACTCTATCACTAGATGGTAGTCTTTTATCAGCTCCATCCACCGTCTCTGTCTCATGTTTAGCTCTTTCTGAGTAAACACGTACTTCAAGCTCTTGTGATCAGTGTATATGTGACATGTCTCCCCGTAGAGATAATGTCTCCATATCTTCAGTGCAAATACCACTGCCCCGAGCTCCAAATCATGAGTAGGATAATTCACCTCATGCTTCTTCAATTGTCGTGAAGCATAGTCGATTACCCTCCCATTCTGCATCAGTACACATCCGAGCCCTTGGATGCTCGCATCGCTATAGACATCGTACCCCACACCTTGTTTGGGTAATGCAAGTACCGGTGCCTCAGTCAATCTCTTCTTTAGTTCCATGAACCCTTTCTCACATTTGTCATCCCATACAAACTTAGCTCCTTTACGAGTGAGCTTCGTCAATGGCGATGCCAAAACAGAGAACTTCTCCACGAACTTTCTATAGTAGCCTGCCAATCCAAGGAAACTACGAATTTCCTTGACGTTCTTTGGCCTCTCCCATTCAGTAATGGCTTCTATCTTCTTGTTATCAACAGCAATCCCCGATCCCGAAACCACGTGCCCGAGGAAGCCAATCTCCTTTAGCCAAAATTCACATTTAGAAAATTTGGCATAGAGTTGCTTCTCCCGTAGTGTTTCAAGAACAAGTATCAAGTGCTCCTCATGCTCTTCTTCACTTTTTGAGTAAATCAAGATGTCATCTATGAACACAATCACGAATCGATCCAAGTATTTATGGAATACTCGGTTCATCAAGTCCATGAATGCCGCCGGGGCGTTTGTTAACCCAAACGACATAACAAGGAACTCAAAATGCCCATACCTTGTGCGGAAAGCACTCTTTGGTATGTCATCTTCCTTAATCTTCAATTGATGGTACCCCGACCTTAAGTCAATCTTCGAAAACACGGTTGCTCCTCGTAGTTGATCAAACAAGTCATCAATCCTAGGCAACGGATACCTATTCTTGATTGTGACCTTGTTCAGTTGACGATAGTCAATGCACATTCGAAGTGTCCCATCTTTCTTTTTCACAAAAAGAACCGGTGCTCCCCACGGGGAGTGGCTTGGTCTAATGAAACCGTTATCCAAAAGCTCTTGCAATTGGGTTTTCAACTCGTTAAGTTCAGCGGGTGCCATCCGGTATGGCGGTATGGAGATTGGTTTGGTACCAGGCTCGACCTCGATCACAAATTCAATCTCTCTGTCAGGTGGAAGCCCCGGTAGGTCTTTAGGGAAGACATCCGGATACTTACAAGCCACCCTCACATCATCGATGTTCGTTTCCTCTTTGGTTTTGTCAACCACGTATGCTAGATACGCGTGGCATCCCTTCCCCATCATATTTCTCGCTCTCACGGCGGATATGATACAACTATTTGATTTGCCGCGGTCCCCCTCGAAGCGTAGGGTGTCCCCCTGTGTGCCTTCGAGTTCCAACACCTTTGTGTAGCAATCTACCCTAGCATGATGCTTTTCTAGCCAATCCATCCCTAGGATTGCACCGAACTCCATCATACTCAGCGGTACGAAATCACACGTCAAGGTTTGGCCACCGATTTCCACCATACAAGATGGATAGTAATTGTTTCTTTCAACGTCTTCCCCTAGTGGGGTTGATACCACTAAGGTTTGTGTCATTGGTATTGATTGCATCTCTAAGCTCTCGGCAAACGCCTCACTCACGAATGAACGTTGCGCTCCGGTATCGATAAGGATTCGTGCATCCTTCCCGTTAATCTTTAGTGTCCCTACATTCATGAACCATGTAAGACATCTTTCCTACCCTCCCTACTCATTTATAGAAGGTTGCAATGTTCACACGCACGTTAGGGATCAAGAAGAGGCCTTAACGTCGCAAAACGATGCGAAAAAATCGGGTATCGGCAATCTGGGTGCCAGGCACGGCGTGCCCGGGGTAGGCACGATCGTGCCTGGCTCAGGAAAACGCCCTGGGGCTACTGCCTTGGAGGCACGATCGTGTCTGCCTTAGGCACGATCGTGCCTGGGTTGGAAAAATCCTGGGAACCACTGACTTGGAGGCACGATCGTGTCTGACTTAGGCACGATCGTGCCTGGTTTGGAGAATAACCCTGGGCAGCTACTGCCTTGTAGGCACGATCGTGTCTGCCTTAGGCACGATCGTGCCTGGGCTGGGAGTATTCCTGGGCAGCTACTGACTTGGAGGCACGATCGTGTCTGCCTTAGGCACGATCGTGCCTGGGTCCCAGTCGTCTGAAGTTGCCCGAAATCCCCCGGTTCGACCCCAAAACCTCGTGCAATGATCCTAGCGATTAGTATCCTCAATTTATGGACTAATTAAGGATAAAACACTAGTATATGAGAGGCAATACCTGCGACGGAGTCCGGGTTAGCTTGAGCATCCGCCTCCGTCATCGCATAGACCCTAGCCTGGGTCCTCCCTTGGTTCACGGATGGCGCGTTGCTCGCACTTGCTCCCCCTTGCCCCCTGCTTGCTTGAGAAGCCCCGGTCTGATTCCGTGTACCCGTCGGGCCACTACTTGGTCCCGATGTCCTTGCTCCGCCCAGTTGTGGGCAATGTGCCTTCAAATGCCCGGCATCCCCACATTGGAAACATCTAGGGGGGTCGCGACATTTACCGGAATGGTTCCTCTTGCAATTGTTGCAACGAGTTACCACTGAGGTCTGTGACCTCGAGCCTTGCCCACTTGGGCCTTGGTTCCCCCTTGATGGTGGCGGTGGTGCCCGGAAAGATCCTCCTCCGTGGTTCCCCCTTTTGTTGGAACCTTGGGAGCCATGACTCTCCCATTTTCTCTTCTTCGCCTCTTCGGCGTCTCTCTTCTTCCGTTCCTCCCACTGTTTCTCCCCTTTCAATGCTTGTTCAACCACTTGGGCGAAAGTCATATTAGGCAATTGCGTTGCCCTATCACGTATCTCCAAGTCAAGGGCGTCCCAAAAGTGGTTCACCATGCGGTTCTCGTCACAAGCATACTCCGGTATGTAGTCGGCGAGATCCCGGAACTTGTACTCAAGCTCCTTCACTGACATGTTACCCCCTTGGGTTAGGAGGGTGTATTCCCTCACCTTCTTATTCACCTCGAAATCAGAATAGTATTGGGCAAAGAACTCCCGTTGGAAGTCCTCCCAAACGACGGTCTCACCGTACTTGTTCTTGGTTCCATCCCACCACTTGGATGCCATCCCCTCGAGCAATCTTACCGCAATTCTCAGTTTGAGATTCGGCGCGATTTGCATGTCAAGGGCCGCTTCATTTAGCCTCTTGATCCATTGTGCTGCCACTGAAATGTCCCCTGCTCCATCAAAGGGTTTGCACCCCAAATCTCTTGCTTCTTTGTTGTACTTGGAGATCCTTATGGTTGGACCTCCATCATTTTGGCCTCCACGTGGTTCCACATGGACTCTAGATGCACCATGACTTCCTCCTCGTGAAGCCATGCCCGAAGGTTGCCCAGCCCGGCGCCTTCGGCGTTCCCTCCTCTCTTCACGCTCACGGTGATATTGTTGGAGCAGCGCCTCTATTCTTGCTAAGGAGTCATTCTCCCCCTCTTCATCGCTCACATCATCGTCATCCCCTTCGTAAGGGGTCTCAACCGGCTCGGTCCCCGGTTGGTAAGTCGAGTCCTCATAGGACCAGTAGGTTTCACTTTCTGTGTCGACATGACCGTCACTCACGGTCTGCGATCGGCCTCCACGGCCCGCTCCTCTAGATGCCCTAGAGGTCCTTCGACTGCCCTGTCCAGTCTCCTCTGGTACACGGCCGGTCGGGTTTCTCCTAGTAATCCTGCCACCACGGTCCATTTCTGAAAGAAATTGGGAAAGAGTCGTTAGACTCGTATCAAATGTCAATTGACGGATAGGTACTTAAGACACATTTTGGCTCGAGTCACTGCCATACCAATTGCTAAGGGTACCATCTTAACAATTAGAGACCTTGCAACCCAAGTACCAAAAGCTCTCCAAGTACAAAACTTCTATGCTCATGGTTTTCAAAATCTTTTCAAAAAGAGAATTTTGAGACTTCATTATGAAGTTTATGGACTAAGTCTCTGATACCAACTTAATTGTCACGCCCCGGACCTCCCCGGACACGTCAACAACCCGCCGTACAATACGAATAGTCAACCGCAGTCCAACACATTCATATTATACAAGGCGTCATGAATATCATTCACACATAAGTCATCCATAAACATTCATAATAAGCAATTCAATACGCAGCGGAAAACATTGTTTAAAACAAAGGGCCACACAGGGCAAACATGAGCACGCAGGCTCTAAAGTAAAATATCCATGAGCATGTTTATTAATGTTCTAAAACTGAATGGAGGAAGCACGAACCAAGTCTTCTCTCCGGGGAAATCACTCGGGCAACGAGCACAGGAAGCAAGCTCTAGCCTCAACCTGAAATGGTGGTGGGACGCCCCCGAAGGGGTCAGTACTCTATACGGCTATAAAGTACTGGTGTGGCAGGCATCTAATAGATATACAACAAGTATTTCAAGCACAAGACCCTCAAATAGGGTGATAGTATATTATGATTGTAACCCTAAGTTACCCATTTGAAAATATACTTACTTTAGGTAAAAGTCAAGTAGTCGGCCCGTGGGCCCATGTTCATTTAGAAATCACCATTCCCATTTCCCGTGGCTACAAGCCACGATACTCAATAGAGTCCAACCCTAACACATGACATTGTATTCTAGAGCTCGGCTCTACTACATCACCATACAATTCATGTCACTCGGGTCAATTCCTTACCTTGCGTTCTAGAGCTCGGCTCTATTACATCACCACGCAAGCCCTAGAGCTCGGCTCTAACTATACAATACATAGACTACAAGTCTACACCTTACATGCATTCTAGAGCTCGGCTCTACTACATCACCATGCATTAAGGTCCAATTCTCAAGCAACCCTATGCCTAGAATTGACATATCATTAAACTGCCATGGGTCATCCTTAAAGACTTCCCATAACTTAACCTTAGTTCCATACTAAGTTATTATATACACTTGAACTATATTCAAGCACCTTTCATACAATCCAATCCCTAGGATCAATTTAATCAACAAGTTCCAATAATCACTAACTAGTATTTCAATACTATTAAGATTATTGTTATCATACCACTATCCTCTTTATTTGTAATTCTCTACATAATTACAAATATGTAGCAGCAACTTAAGTATTCAATCTCAATACACAAATCTTCATTTATGTATCCAAATACTTCATACATGAGCAAAATACCTATTTCGCAAAAACAGTTCATTTATACTCATTAAATCTCATGTTATTCATACATTCTCAAATCATTTCAAATTTCATTCTTTGGCAACTATATCAATATTTCATCAATATATGATCATCATAATCCATGAAAAATAATGATTTAAGCATTTAGGTAATCTCATGCTTAACCTACAAGTTGTAAGCAATTAGATGTCAATCCTCACCTCAATTGAGCTTTAAACTTTCCCTTCTTGGTCCAATGGTCAAAGCTTTGGTCAAGGTGGATTTGGAACTGATTCCTTGCTCAAATATGAGTGTTAAACAGCCTCCTCAAAGTGCTAGTTCAACCCTTAATCGTTGATACGAAAACAGCCCCTAGAACGGGTGTTTCCCGGTCAACTCGTTTCCTAGTTTTTCCAAGATTTGTTCTAGGTTAGTATCTAACCTTTACATCAATAAAATAACTTTATAAGGACATATTATACACTTGGATTAGTGTATGATAGTCCCACCAATCGTTCATATCATTTGGAAAATGAAAAGTAAAGTTTTGGGGCTAAAACTCACTTTTAGAAGATCAAATCCTCTCCTGCGAGGTTGTGTTTTGCTCGGACGATTTGGAAGCCTTCCACAACTCCGATTCCTGCAAACCAGACCTTCACGGATTCCTCGTCTTGAGAGCTTTCTGTGGGTATCTCACACGCCTTAATTGGATTTGTAAAACTCGAGATATCGACCAAACAGTCTCAGCACTCCCACAGCTCGAGTTCACAGACCACTGCTCGTTCCAGATCGATTTTTGGATGATTGCTCTCTCTACTCGAACAAAGGCCACTCAATTATGAAACTACACTTCAAAGGCTATCCAAGGACACCTTATACACCTCATTTGGACGAGTACAACTCTCAAAATGAAGGGAGACAAAACACACCCATGATTTGTGCGGAAATAGACAAGGTGGGTCTCAAGGTTGATTCCAATCAAGTCTTGTGCAGCCCTCCTCCAGCTTGTGCGGCCAAGGTAAGTCTCCTCACTTATTTTTCTTGTTTTGCAGGTACTATAATCATGTGGGGTGGTTCCCAATTGATCCCAATTAATTTGGGGTCCAAATTATCTACCAATACTTCCAAAAATGGGGGAAATGGGTCCTATTGTTTTATCTTTGTCAAAAGATGTCTTTTTGCACTCATCCTAATTTATTTAGAACAAGTCAACTTCCTAAATCACATTATTGATCTCCAATATGTGTAGGATCATCCCAATAATTTACATGATGAAAATTATAAAAGAATACGGGTTTGAACAATACAATATTCAATCGCGTACTTCGTAAAATATTAATCGTTTCTTCCATTGCTTTGAAATCGGAAATTCAATACATCACTTTTGAATTTTTAAATCGAATTTTCAAGGACGTTCGGGTGCGGTGTCACAAACTGCCTGTGCAGCAGTAGACTAAGCAGTTACCTGCTAACCAATCTACTGCCAAACCTACTTCCTCTTGTAACCAGTCTAAACATCATCTAAACTAGAAAGTTATCTCACACTAAGTATAAAGAGGTTAAAGACTTCCGCTGTGCATCTATTAATCTCTTAAAAGATTATAGATCAACTCATCTAGAGGGAAAACTTCATAAAGATGAAAAAGATTTAAAAGTCTATTCACCCCCCCCCCCCCCCTCTAGACTTTTACCTCTATCCGGGACCATCAAGTGGTATCAGAGCGGGTTGTTCCTAGAGTCAGTTTCTGACTATTTTTGAGCTAAAGATCCAAATCCACTTTTATCCCAAACACTTTCTAATAATGGACAGTCAGTTAGCCAAGAATCTTCTGTTCAACTTGAACAAATTTGATGACTGGAAAATACGGATGAAAGCACATCTCAGTGCCTTACATGATGAGATGATTGAAGTAATTACTGATGGACCTATCAAAATAATAAAGGTCATCACATCCAGAACCACAGAAGGGACAGATGATGTGTACATTCCAAAACCTAAAATGGAATGGACAACTGAGGACAGGAAGAGAAACAATCTTGACAACATTGCCAAGGACATTCTCTTCAAATCTGTTGATGAATCTATATTTCCCAGAATCAGGAAATGCGAAACTGCCAAAGATGTCTGGGATGAGCTAACAAAGATTGGAGCAGGGGATGAACAGGAGAAGGACAATAAACTGACCATAGCCCTAAAAAAATTTGAGGATTTCAAAATGCTGTCATCTGAATCTATCCATGAGATGGAATCCAGATTCCTGAAGATTGTGGCAGAGGTCTCTGACCTTGGGAAAGAACTTTCTCAAAAAGAAATTTCCCTTAAAATCTTGAGAGGCCTGCCATCAAAATGGGACATGAAGGTAACTGCTATGAGAGATAGTAGAGATCTCAGAACTTTGTCAACTGACAAACTCTTCAGTGATCTCAAGGCCTATGAATTTGAAATGAAGGAGATCAAAGAAGAGAAGGAAGATGAATACAAGACACTAGCTCTAGTGTCTGAGCCAAGCACTTCAAAATCTGCTGAAAAATCCCTCAATAATCTCCTCACTGACGAGCAGTTTCCTATGTTTGTGAGGAAATTTAAAAGATTCATGAAGAAGGAGGGTACTGTTCCAAGGAGGTCATACAATCAGCCACCCAGGAGACAAGGAAGACCTCAATCAAGTGAGGACACTATTCTATGCTATAACTGTAGACAGCCAGGACATTACAAGAATGAGTGTCCTTTACCACTGGCTCAAAAGTATCAAGGGCAACAGGCAACTGCTCGAAAAGGAGAATACAAAAAGGACTTCAAGGGCAAGAGACAAGCCTTTGTAAGTGAAAAGAGGAAGGACGAATCCCAAAGTGATGATGAGAGCAGCTCAAGTGATGAAAGCTCCTCATCTGGAGACTCAGAGGAGGCACTACTATGCCTGGGATCCTGGCAGATGGCTGAAGAAAGGAGCAGATGGCTCAGCGAAGACGATGAAAACTGCTCCAACAACTGCCTAATGGCCAAAGACCACTACAATGATGTTGAGGAAGGTGCTGGAGCAGTTGACTCACAAACATGGTACATAGATTCAGGCTGCTCCAGGCACATGACAGGCAGCAGACGGCTCCTGTCCAACTTTATGGCAAGAGAAGGACCCAAAGTGACTTTTGGGAATGTGGAAAAACAAGGAGAGACCAAAGGAGCTGGAGACCTATCCATCAATGGACTTACAATCCAAAACATATCTTATGTTAAAGGATTAAAGTTCAATCTCATAAGCACAAGCCAGCTCTGTGACAATGGCTATAATGTTACATTCTCCAAAGACATCTGTTTGATTAGAGATGTCAAAAATGACAAAATTGTGCTCACTGGTAGAAGGAAGAAGGACATGTACATTGTTGATTGGAGCTCAGCAAAGGAAGGGATCTGCTTGGTGACAAAGGCAGACTCAAATTTGAGTTGGGAATGGCACAACAAATTAAGCCATCTCAACTTCAAAACAAGCAATCAACAAATTGTCCAGAAAAGGATTGGTGAAAGGTCTTCCTGAGATCAACTTCAAAAAGGATCATCTCTGTGATGCTTGCAAAAAAGGGAAACAAACCAAGGTATCATTCAAATCAAAGGAACTGGAATCATCAACTAGGCCCTTAAGCCTACTACACCTTGACTTATTTGGACCAGTTGAACCAACAAGTATAAGTGGTAAAAGATACACCCTGGTAATAGTTGATGATTACTCTAGATACACTTGGACCATATTCCTAAAGAAAAAGAATGAAACAGAGAAGAAACTTCCAGAACTGATGAAACTAATTCAAAATGAGAAAAGTCTATCAATCCAGAAGATCCGATCAGACAGAGGTACTGAATTCCTCAACTCTATAGTAATTCAGTACTGTAAAGAAAATGGAATCCATCACCAAACTTCAGCTGCAAGAACACCTCAACAAAATGGTGTTGCTGAGAGAAGAAATAGGACTCTCAAGGAAGCCGGAAGGACAATCTTAGAAGCAGCTGGCTTACCCAAAAGATTTTGGGCAGAAGCAATCAACACTGCTTGCTACACCCAGAATAGAAGTCTCATTCATAAGACTTACAAAAAGACTCCATATGAACTATGGAAGGAAAGGAAGCCTAATGTTAGTCATTTCCATGTGTTTGGATCCAAATGCTTCATTCTAAACAATGGAAAAGACTATCTCAAGCCATTTGATCCCAAATCTGATGAAGGAATCTTCCTGGGATACTCAGCAACAAGCAAGGCATTCCGGATCCTCAACAAAAGAACTCTGGTGGTAGAAGAATCAATCCATGTGGTTTTTGAAAACCACTCCACTGCTCAATCAATAGATAAAGGTGAGTCATCCAAATCAAAGAAGGACACAGGAAAAGCTCCAAGCTGCCTTCCAAATGATTATGCTAAAAAGGATGGAATGATGGTGGAAGCAGTTAACTCCAAAGGCAGCCCACTGCCAGCAGTTGCCTCTGACTATAGAACACTGCCAGCAAATGGCTCACCAACAAACCCCCTTTCAGGAACTCATGAAACTCCTAAGTATCCTATTCTACCAGAGGACAGTGAAGAAGATGAGGAGGATGACCAACCAATGAAAACTAACTCTAATCAGACATCTGATATTAGATGGCTGAATCAACATCCACCACAACAGATTATTGGAAACATCCATGAAGGAGTTCGTACCAGATCATCAATCCAAAGAGAAGCACTGTTCTCATGTTTCATCTCACAATCTGAACCCAAGAAAATTGAAGAAGCCCTACTTGACTCTGACTGGATACAAGCCATGCAAGAAGAACTCAACCAATTTGAAAGAAACAATGTGTGGGAGCTTGTGACCAGACCCTATCATCAACATGTGATAGGAACCAAATGGGTGTTCAGAAACAAGATGGATGAGGAAGGTACAATTATCAAGAACAAGGCAAGACTAGTAGCCAAAGGCTACTGCCAGGAGGAAGGGATAGATTTTGACGAAACCTTTGCTCCGGTTGCCAGACTTGAGGCTATAAGAATTTTCTTGGCTTATGCTGCCCATAAGCAATTCACTGTCTTTCAAATGGACGTGAAAAGTGCATTCCTAAATGGTCTACTAGAAGAGGAGGTCTATGTGGAGCAACCTCCTGGATTTGAAGTCAACAGAGAGAAGGATCTAGTCTACAAACTGCATAAAGCTCTGTATGGACTCAAACAAGCCCCAAGAGCATGGTATGACACTCTCTCCGAATATTTGGTGAATAATGGGTTTACTAAAGGAAAAGTAGACAAGACACTATTCAAAATTGAAGAAGGTCCATACTTGCTGCTTGTCCAAATTTATGTTGATGACATAATCTTTGGAAGTTCAAACCAAGCACTATGCAAGAAATTTTCAACTCTCATGCAAAACAAGTTTGAGATGAGCATGATGGGAGAGTTGAATTATTTCTTGGGACTACAAGTAAAGCAGACTCCTCAAGGTATCTTCATCAACCAAGCAAAATATACAAGAGATCTCATGAAAAAGTTCAAAGTTGAAAACAAGTCCACTGTGAAAATACCCATGAATACATCCCAAAGTCTAAGTCAGGATGAAGATGGCAAAGTTGTTGATCCCACACTTTACAGAGGTCTGATTGGTTCCTTGTTATATCTCACCACTAGTCGGCCAGATATTTCCTACTCAGTTGGTGTGTGTGCAAGGTTTCAATCTAAACCTAAGGAAAGCCATCTTCTAGCTGCCAAGAAGATTCTGAGGTATCTAAAAGGCAATCCTAACTCTGGATTATGGTACCCAACAAATGGAGGTTTTGAACTCTATGGTTATTCGGACTCTGACTTTGCTGGATGCAAA